GGCGGCTCCCGGCTGTGCGGCTCACCGGCCGGGCAAGCGGGATGCGCCCGCCAGTGGCACGTGGGCAAGATCAGCCAGCAAGGTGCCGAGGGGAGGCAGGGTGCCACCCCCCACATTGCAAAGCTCCGGCCCGGCAGCAAAGGCTGTCATGGCTGCATGGGTCAGCTGGGCCGACCACCTGGCAACAAGAGCGCCGACAACACTGGGGCGCAGCCGGGCTTTGTCATGGTGATGTGTGCGTTGTCTTTTTGGGCATCCCGAAATGTGGTTCATATGTTCACGTCTTCAGATTTACTGCTCACGTGGCCTTCTAAAATTTGAATTGATAGTTTTTTGTTTTCACATGTTTTTTGGTACTGGGCCCACCAAAATTTGGGCTTCCGGTTTTCTAGGCATCAAACAAACAGGTCCCCAACTTGTAGTTTAAGCTTTTAGTTTTCGACTGGGCCTCCAGTAGCGATGTGAAGCCCCCATCGGGAACTGATATGTGTGGACAGGCATTTCAACATACATTGACGCAAGCACGCGTAAACCAACGTGTTGTCATACACACACACACACATACTAATATGTAAAACATTTTTTGAATATTTGCCTTAGCATCGACATATGTGTATATATATATATATATACACACTATATTGAGATGCAGTTTGGGACCAAGCGCTCTTGCACTCCCAGTCCGGGCCTTTCGCTAGCCGTTTCCTCACTACAGTGCCAGTCTCATCAGCCTTATCCTATCCCTGCCATCTCTTCCGTATTCTCCTCCTGCGCCGCCTGCGCCTCCCCTTGCCTCTTGCTGAGCGCACCTGCCGGTGCCGTCGCCTTCTGGACCCCTTCGGCGACCATCGTGCAGCCTGCGCCCGGTCAGGTGTGCTCCGGGGGCGCGGGTGTCCGCTGGAGTGTGCGGCAGCTGGAGCCAGAGTCACCTCCAACACACGCCTTGCGGACTTGAACCTTCAAGCTGACCGGGTCGACGATAGGCGGCTGGAGGTCGGGCCTACCCAGAGCTCGTGCGGGCGCACAGATGCTGGTTGGCCGTGCTTGCAGTCGAGGTTGGCGGGCGGTGGAGTGATGAGGCCGCCTCCTTCATCCGGTCCTTGGCCCGCGCCCGGGCACTTGAAGCGCCAGCTCGGCTGCGCCCCAGTGTCATGTTTCTGCACCTGTTTTTTCCAGCGGCACCTGTTTTGGATTTTTGTTGTTTTTCTCGCGCCTTTTTCCGTCTTCTCCTGCAGGCCACTTATATACCGGCGGCCCCCGGATGTGCTTAGGGGGTATTAAGGGGGCAGCCATTTGTATACCGCTTCCGGCTGTGCGGCTCACCGGCCGGGCAAGCGGGATGCGCCCGCCGGTGGCACGTGGGCAAGATCAGCCAGCAAGGTGCCGAGGGGAGGCCGGGTGCCACCCCCGGCATTGCAAAGCTCCGGCCCGGCAGCCTGCCTGAGAAGGGACGAAGCAAAGGCTGTCATGGCTGCATGGGTCAGCTGGGCCGACCAGCGCCGATCAAGAAAGTCTTAAAATCCGGGCTTAAAAAATATATTGATTATATCAATAGAAACCGACGAAATCAATATCAGTACAAACATACTGATTTCTATTGGTTGGAGCCAATACCCGATCCAAGATTTTGGGGGTGGCTGATCCCTTGGCGAAGGATGCCGACACCCTCCAGGCCCGACAAATCGCCCGCACCAACAGGACCAGCCCGTTTGCCAGGGCCTGATCGTGCCGTGGGGCTTTTGCCCGAGTGTTTCCTTGCCGCCCGTGGAAAAGTCGTCGAAGCGAGCAAGCAACTTTCTAACTGCTCCCGAAAGGCGGAAGAACAAGATGAGTGGCAGAAGGAACCAAATTTTCCAAGTTTGTTCCTGTCCAAGCCCTTCTGGCGAGACGGCGTCGTAAATCAAGTCAGGCGCGAACCGGAGCGCTTTCCGCAAAGTCCCTTTCAGAAAGTGCGAGGGTGCTCTCAACATAATACACGGGTCACACGACACACGACTCAATTGCAGCAAAGGCCGCGCTGAAGCGCGCCCCTTGTAAAACGGGTTGAGCCGGCTGGGTGCACCGTGGAGCTCTCCAGCGCCATCGGCCGGCCTATCTGTTGCGCAATTCCACCCACGCATGGTCCGACTCCGGGGTAGAGGCGTCAACTAGGGCAACATGTTGACAGCAAAACGCGCACACGTGTTCCGGCGCTTCTGGGGGAAGCCTCTCAGGGGAGGAACCGATCATAGGCGGGTGCTGCCGCTGGTATCCCAACTCCTTCTAGGATGCAAGATGATGCAAGCATTTACGAAGTTTTCTTCCCCGACCAACCGAGCAGCACGGGCATCGCAAACTGCGCACATTCACTCGCATATACCCTAGGTGCAAGGTATGCCCACAGGATGGGTATGCGTAACCTGCTTGCGGCCCGCTTTCTCCGGACACTAGTTGCACGCATTGTCAGCCCCGGCTGCTGCTTCTTGCGGGGCGCAGCGTTTCGCTCGCCTTTCTCGGCGGCCATTTCGGGTGGGGGGGGTTCCGGGCTTGCTGGGTCTCACCGCCGCTGGACGGAAAAAGGCGTTGGGGGGAAAAAGGAGAAACAACAAAACGTGACTGGCACTGGCGCCCCGGGGGTTGCAGCACCCAGGGCATCTGGCGGGGCAAGGGAAGATGCAACTTAGAGCACGGATGGCGGAGACGCGATCCCCACAGTCCATTGCCAAGCTGCGGGAGGGCTTGGGCCGACCGATTTTTTATACTGGGCCGGTCCCCCAGCTATGTGCTTCCACTGTTTTTTGTTGTTCTTCTTTTTTTGTTCGCGCCTCTGGTTTTTTTTGGTGCCCGGCCTCCGGGAGGCTCGGACCGGCAAGATGCGTGGCAAGAGGGGCAACCATTTCTAAGCTTGTTCCTGTCGGAGCCCTTCTGGCGAGCCGGCGTGGTAAATCAAGTCAAGCGCGAACCGGGGTGCTCTCAACATACTACACGGGTCACACGGCTCAATTGCAGCAAAGGCCGCCCTGCGGCGCGCCCCTTGTAACGGGTTGATCCGGCTGGGTGCATTGTGGTGCTCTCCAGGGCCATCGGCCCCGTGGCATCGTGCGTGAGTGCTGCTGGGATGGTCCGGCTCACGCAGCAGTGCTTCTGGCTGGGTTGGCACGGGAACGCCGGGTGGACAGGTTGCGACTCCGCAGGCACGGCTATGCACCTGAGCGTGCAGCGTCTGTTCTGCGGGGGTGACTGTCGGGGGCGCCACCGCCATGGGCATTGCATGGCGCGCCTAAAGGCTGGCTGGTCTCAGCAGCCACCCTCGTGGGCTGGCGCTGGTGGCAGCCACCGTCAAGGCCATTGCTCCGTGGCGTGTCGGCAAGACAGCTTGACATGTCGGCGGCCAGCGGGCGCTGGGGCTCGTCTGTCGGCACCAAACAAATTTTACCCGACGCCAGGTTGCACAGCAGAAAGCCGCTGCATTGAACATGCCAGCCCTATACGCGCTGGGGCAGCACCCGGCGCTGCAGGCGGCCTCTGCCACCTTGCTCCCCGGGAGACCGTGTTCGCCTACCTCGACGACGTGTACGCCGTGTGCCAACCGGAGGTGGCCGGCGTTGCTCGTGTTGTGTTGCAGGAGCATGCGGGCATAGAGGCGCACCTTAGGAAGACGGTGCACTGGGCATGCTGGGCCGACTGCCGGTTCTGAGGGAGCGTTTGCCGGCGCTTGGGGCTGACCTTCTGGCTGCGCTGAGCACTGGCGGCGGCGGCGTGTGCGGCCCAAGCCGTTCAGGCGGCGCTGACGCTGCCGCCAGGCTTCACCAGGCCCACGTGGCAGGAACTCTGGGACGGGGTGGCGCCGGGCCAGGAGCCTGGCGAGGCCGGGGATTTTTTCCGCGGATGGCAAGGAGAGGCCACCGCGCTGACCTGACTGACGTGGCGGCGCGCGACACGCTGTTTTCACACCTTGACCTTGCGTCGCGCGCGCTGCTGTTGTCGCAGGCGGGGCCTCAGGCGGGGAGAGCCCTGCATGTTTTGCCCACGGCTCGCGCGCCCTCCCCGCATCCGCGCGCGCGCCTGCCGCTGCGGGCGCCCCGCCGATGCTTTGGGTGACCATGTCGCTGCCTTCCCGACGTCCGGCGTGCTCAGGACCAGGGCTGTATCGGTGGAGCGGGCGATCGCGCGTGTCTGCCGGAGATGAACGTGGATGTCCCGGTCTCTGATGCCCGGCGCATCGAGATCCTGGCGTCTGCGTTGCCCGTGTGGCATGGCGCTCAGGTTGCCATTGACGCCACGATGGTCAGCCCACTGGGAGGGCCGGCCAGCCCAGAGGCAGCAGTGCCAGACAAGCTGGGGTTGTGCTTGAGCACGGCACGGCGGTGCCGGCTCGTGGTCTTCGGCATCGAGGCCGGCGGTTGGTGGAACGGCGAGGTGCGGGATTTGCTCCTCGCCCGTGCCAAAGCGAGGGAGCGGCCTCAGTGGCTGCGTGCCTCAGCGTTGCAGGCCTTTCACCAGCGCTGGTCCGGCGTTGTTGCCGTTGCGGCACAGCGGGCCCTCGCCGCCACCTTCGCTGGCCTGCCTAGCGCAATGGAGCTGCGCCGCCCTGGCCCGAGGTGTAGCGGTCGCGCGCCATGGCGCGGCCGAGGCGGTTAGCCGGCTGCCGCCCAGCTGACAAGCCTCGCCGCGGGATGGCTTGCACACCTTGGTTTGTGAATTATCAAGGCCTATAGGTTTTTTGGAGGCGCCATGACAACACGTACATATGCGATACTATGACCTGTTGAATTGCACCCGGAGTCAAAAAAACTACGGATTTAGACTTGTAGCTGGCGCGGCCTTGCGCTCGTCACGTCGCTGTCTTCGGTTGATGAGCGCATTGCTCAAACGATAACACGCCTGTCGTCACACAAGCAAGAGCAAACAACAGAATAAAGAGACATGGTTGCTGCTTTGCGTGTTTTGTATGGCGCGCTTGCACTCAAACGGCCAAAGCTCCCTCATTGCATTTTCGAATATTTTCGAACAGCGCAGCGTCGCCCACCGTGATTAGATCTATCAGGAGCAGCGTGCGCAGCCACGCAGCAATGGGAGCTCATTTGTTTGCATAGCAGGTGCGCCATGAGACGCCGCGGGGTCACTGCCCTGGGCTTGGCCAACGGCAAGCGAAGTGGAGTGCCAGTCACGGCTGTAGCTTTGAGAACTCGTATTTTTCTAGTGTTAAAACATTGCTGCACCCCCTACAGTTGTCCTTGTGTGAGATGTGTGTTGGCATGTCGCGCGCATTTAGCCGGCTGAGGTCATGGTCACACTTGCCTCCCTTGCAAGCCTCGGCCTCAACGGCACCCGCAGCTTTAGCGCCTTCGGACGAAAGAGGCCTCATATCAAAGCAGAGGCAGCTGGGGCCAAGCGCTCGCTAAGCGCAATCAGGGATTCTCGGCGCAACTCTGGGGGCAAATTTGTGGTGCGCATGGTTGGTGAAACTCTGAAATTGTAGTACGCCTTGCTTTTGTTTGGTTGTGTTTGCAGTGGCTGCTGTCCATTCTTTCAAATTGGTGTGGTTCTGCCTGCAAGGACAGGCTTCGCAAGGAGGACGGCACGTCCTTTGTTGACACACACTGCCACCTGGACCTGGTGCTGCCGCGCCTCTCCGAGCAGAGCCATAAGGATGCCGCCAAAGCAGTGGCAAAAGGGGAGGAACCCTTGCCGCGGTTACGAGCTGACTTCTTGGAGTGGCGCGAGACGCTGCAAGGCTCTGAGCGTGATCTTGAGGGCTGTGTCAATATCGGATGTAGTGCGAGAGGGATTGACGCCGCAGTGGAGTTCTTGAAGCATGACAATGTCTACGGGGCGTTTGGCATACATCCATTGAACGCACATGAATGGAATAGCGAAATGGAAGACAAGATTGTGAAACTAATGTCGCGGGACAAAGTCGTCGCTTGGGGCGAGTGTGGCCTGGATTATTACGACAAGAAGACACGTGCACAAAAACAAGAGCAGCACACGCGGGAGCTGCAGCGAAAGGTATTTGTTCGCCAGATTGACTTAGCCGTGTCCTTGGGCAAGCCACTGGTTGTGCACACGCGCTGTGCAGAAGAGGACACCTTGGAACTGCTGGAGGCTCATCTTCCCGAGTCACTGGGATCAGTTTGATGATGAGCTTCTGATTTTTTTATATGTATTTTGTTTTTTTTTGGTCTTTGTGAAAAGGCATCCTCGGCGTGCATGCTGACGGACAGTCCGAGGTCCCACCCGGTGCACGTGCACTGCTTCACCAGCTCCCAGAAGTTGGCGAGCGCCCTGCTGGAAGGGTTTTCGGGCCTGCGCCTGGGCTTCACGGGCGTGGTGACCTTCAAGAACGCCCAGGAGGCACGTCCCTGCAAACAACATGCCGACTGAGTCTTCCTTCCGGGGTTGTGGTTCAGCCTGTTTTTAGGTGAACAATAGCAGTGAAAAGGAGTCAATCTTAGGCGGTTTTTCGCTTTTGATGTACACAGTGGGAAGGGTTGGGCCAAGTTATGTTTAGTGACACCCTTCCTAAAGAGCCCTGCTGCAAGGCTGTTGAAGCCAAGGATGTCCACATCTCTGTGATGACTGGGTGCTTCAAGTAACCTTCAGCCAGAAGTGTAATCCAGTACCCTCGCACAACATCGAATAAGGGCACATGCCTTGACATCTAGATTGGCTTGGTAGCGCCCCACAAGACTCAGATAGAGTGCATGGTTCCCTGCGCAGACAACTTCTAGCGCCCCGCCCAGAATGGCCACAGCTAGTTGAGGGCCTCTTCGCGATGGCTGTCCCTCAGCTATCTGGAAGCCATATGTCGGTATAGAACTAATGTCCAATGGGGATTAGTAAAGGGGAGCCCCCCCCCCCCCCAACGATGGGGGCATGGGGAATAGTATGTTGAGGTGAGTTTCCATCAGATTTAGTATTGGTAGACTTGAGTTTCAAATTGATTTAGTATTGCTGGAGCTTCCTTTTGAGATTTGGAACTGAGTTTCAAATTGATTTAGTATTGCTGGAGCTTCCTTTTGAGATTTGGAACTGAGTTTCAAATTGATTTAGTATTGCTGGAGCTTCCTTTTGAGATTTGGAACTGAGTTTCAAATTGATTTAGTATTGCTGGAGCTTCCTTTTGAGATTTGGAACTGAGTTTCAAATTGATTTAGTATTGCTGGAGCTTCCTTTTCAGATTTGGAACTGAGTTTCAAATTGATTTAGTATTGCTGGAGCTTCCTTTTCAAATTTGGAACTGAGTTTGCATTTGACTTTATTGTCAGGGCCCCTGGAATAAAGTCTTGGGCTTAAAATTTGGGGGCTTGAAGTACTACCCCCTTTGTGGGTTTGATGGTGGGCAGTTTTTAAGCAAGAGACATGTAAGAAAGCTTGAGTTTGGGCAAGGTCTGCAGTTTGGTTTTTTGGGAGAAAGCATGAAGCTTCACCAGCATCACCTGGGATTGAAGTTGGTTAGGTAGCTAGCCAAGAGGTAACTGCATTTAGGAAGTTGCATTTTTCAGGGGGGACCATGCATCAAGACTTTATTCCAGGGGCCCCTGGAATAAAGTCTTGGGCTTAAAATTTGGGGGCTTGAAGTACTACCCCCTTTGTGGGTTTGATGGTGGGCAGTTTTTAAGCAGGAGACATGTAAGAAAACGTGAGTTTGGGCAAGGTCTGCAGTTTGGGTTTTTCGGAGAAAGCATGAAGCTTCACCAGCATCACCTGGGATTGAAGTTGGCTAGGTAGTTGGCCAAGAGGTAACTGCATTTAGGAAGTTGCATTTTTCAGGGGGGACCACGCATCAAGACTTTATTATAGGGGCCCCTGGAATAAAGTCTTGGGCTTAAAATTTGGGGGCTTGAAGTAGTACCCCTTTTGGTGGTTGAGGAAAGAAGCAGGTGCCAAGAGCAAGGTGCCAAAGATCCAAGGACCAGGGGTGGCTATCTCTCCTCTCCTTCCTGTCCTTTCTCTCTTTGTCTCTTCTTTTTTGTGACTTTTTTTGGATTGTTTTTTTTTTTCATGGGTGGGGGGGGGGGGCAGGGGCTTGTCTTTAATCCAGGTGCATTTACTAATTATTTTGGGCCCCGAGAAGTCTTTATTACGCGTGCATTTTTTAATCCCATTTGGACATTAACCATTCAATTTTAGAGGAGGCCACACAGCATGCCGGACAACTGATCATAAAACAACTCGTTAGTGCCATCCTATTGCCCTCGGCTTCAACAATGTTCACTCAACGAGATTCACCTGACAAGCGCGCGACCCCAGCTGCCAGTTGCAATGGTTCATTTCAAGCTCCGGCATCCAACCCTGAGAGGTGCAAGAGGTCGTGAAAAGCACACCTTTGCAGCGCATTCTGCTGGAAACGGATTCCCCGTACATGGCACCAGAGCCTTTTCGAGGCAGAATCGCTCACCCTGGCCATGTCTCGTATGTGGCGGATGCTGTCGCGTGCCTGAAAGGAATAACACGGGAAGAAGTTCTTGCACAGTGCCGGCAGAATACCAGGAGCACCTACGGCATCTAGCGACGAACGTGCCAGGCAAAAAGTATTGATGCATCTTTGTCTGCTTTAAAGCATGGTGCAAGTCAGATCCTCCAACCCCAAACCTTTCGAAAGAGTTTACCCCGTTTTGTTTGCAATGAACGCCATGAAAGAGAGGCCACCCCGATTCACCAGCCCCGCAGCTGTCAAAGGGGGTAGATCGCAGCCTCGCACCATGGACCCGGGCTCCGCAGCTTGGATGCAGAGCGAGAGAGCCCGGCCGGCCATGGGGCAATTGCCCAGGGAATCGGGAACCCACGGCACTTCTGCAAAAAGGGGGCAGCTGCAAAAAAAGAGGTAAAACGCAGCTTCCAAATGCTGGGCATGGAATGCGAAGCAGGTGCAACGAATGGTCTACACCCTGTTGATATACGCTGAGTGTCCTTGAGGTCTTCAACGGCTGCAGGAAGGCTAAACCTTGGAAGGCTCGTGCTTCCATTTGCAAACAATTTGTTGCAACAGCCAACATCTTAAAATAAAAGCAAGCTGTCATGCAGAAAAGTGTACTTTCTGTTGTGCAAGTATTCTATGCAGAGGTGCTACTTTGACGCCTTGCTCAAGGTTGTTGAGGCATGCCTGTAAACCCTTGTCGCTGGGGCGTTTCGGCCAGCAACCCTCAAACGGGCACGTGGGCAATTTCGAGGCTTCACGAGTCCCAGCCAAGCAGGGGTTTCAGGGTCGCCTCGAAAGTGGTAGCCGCTAGCCGTTCCGTGTGGACTACCGTGAGCATTGAGTCACTTGCTAATGCTGACCCCATATTAATGAACCCGTTTGTCAAAAGGGGGGTGTTCCCCTCCAAAAGTGATGGTTCCTTGCTAAGACCAGGGACGCCCCCATATTAATAAACAGGGGTGTATCAATCCGGGGTCAACAGTAGCAGTTCTTGTGATCATTGTACTCTTTGATTTGTTGAGCGCGTCTGCCATCCGGGCCGTTAAGGTTTGGGTGCCGTTGACGCCGGCCAGCACCTACAACCGCTTTCGTGCGCAGGAGGACGGTGCACACCGGCAAGGGTATGTGTTTCTTTGGGCGTTTGCGCGCGCAGATGTGTGACGCCTGTTGTCAGGAAACCTAGCTTGCTTACTTTACAGCTTGCTGGCCTTTTGAAGCTCGGCATGTGACGATTCATTATTCTATAGACTGGTCCAAATCAAAACATCTGGACATGAACATGGCCAGCAGCTACCCATTACATGCTGAGCCTGCATAACCCTTTCAGAGCCGAATGTGCTCACCGAAGCTTTTCCCTGCGCGGCCAGGAATTTCAACGAAAGCGCGACAAGCAAAGCGCTGCAGCCATCAAGGATGGAGAGCCAGGCTGCGTTGCAGGAGTGAGCCAGGAACATGCATGTGCTTGCCGTTTGCATGTGTGCATGCTCATGTTGCAGAGCACCGCAGGAAAGGGCGTACTGTAGCCTGCACATGCTATTGGGACTATATGGGATTCGTAATATTGAAGCAAAAGCAACTTCAGCTTCACTAAGGGGCCCAGCGATTATTTCTCTTGCAAACCCATGCCCCATAAGTAAGAACGTATTCACATCAGAGGGGCTGTGAGACCTTCTTGCTGACTGCTTGGGAACAGCCAAGCTTGGGAAGAACGGAGCTCAGTGTCGGTTGCGCATGAGCTCATAGGTGTTTTGCGTCAGTTGGCTGTTTGAAAGCACGGGCTTTTTCTTGTGTTCTTAGTGGAGAGCAATTGGTTTAGAAGAGAATGTGCGTGTAAAATTCTGAGTGACCGTGTCTGACGACTGGGCACTGGGCTTTTCACGAAGGCCCAGCAAAGCCGATGTTCATGGTGGCTGGACTGTCGCAGCCAGGCATCAGGTGCGGCCTTTTGGGAAATGGGTATGGGTCAAAGCCAGGGACAGCAGGTTTTGGTCCTGGTTTCCATTTACCCTGATTCCATTTGGGGTACCTATTTTTTACCACACCCAAATCATGCCTATTGCACCCTCAATGGGAAAAAACATGCTGCCCTCAGGCGCAGATTGCTTTTGACTATTGCCGGGGCTTGATGCTTTCTCATGACGATGTATGTGTCAGGGAGGAAACGGCATCACATCATTGTTTTCTGGCAAGGGTTTGACGTATTGTGAAGCTCTCCTGTCTTTGCACGGCAACTCAGCCGAGGATGCGGCATGGGCATAAGTGGTGCTGTACTGACTCATGGGACAAGATTGGAGGCACAAGAATGCATGTGAATAGACCACGGCATACTATGCCTTATCAGGGACGCGCCCTTGCCCCACCTCCAACATAGTAAGCCTCAACCATCGTTCTGTCCCGTGGGCCTACAGTTGTTGGGGCTTCCTGATGTCAATTTTGCGCGGGCTATCTTAGAGGTTCCTTGAACCACAAGTGCCGGACGGAATTGCAAGCCTCGTGCAAATCCGACGTATGCCTTGTTAAACTTATGGGTGCATGCCAGGAGCATGTGACTAGTCATTCTTGTAAGTGGTCTGTACTGTAGGCCGCGTGACATCGACCAAGACGGACTGCCTTCGAGAGTGCAGACTACTGCTCCCCCGAAAACTGAACATGTCTGGCGTTTTGCTAGCTGGTTTTCTTGCCAAGGCTTTGAGGTTCCATGGCAACTCAGTTGGTTTAATTGTCGTGGCCAGGTCGCTGATCCCGTTGGACTACCAGGGGGAGATCCAGAAGTGACAGCATGCGCATGTGGTGCTGGACAAGTTGCAGGAATTGAGTTTCCTCCTGCCAGCAAAGCAGGGCCTCTGCGCGGACTTTGTGGGTAGGATAAGACATGGAGTTGTTCTTCCAATTGGCCTGGAAAAGCTGCGCCAGCGCACAGCAAGTGTATAGCTTGCGTTGCAAGCAAAACAAGCACAGCCAGTCCGGAGCCCTTGGGCTCAAGCAACATATCCATCGTCACATCCCAGTTTTTTCCGTTTCGGGAAAATGATGCGGCCGGAGAGCGCCGAGGACTGGTTCCACATGCTGCCGGACCTGCTGGAAGGGGCCAGCTGGACCCTGGCCTGCGAACGGAAAGACGGGCGCCTGCTGCACCGGGAGTGTCCTTGGGGTGGTCACCTCATCAAGTTCGACTTCAACTTCCACCTCGCGGCGGGCAGCTTCCTGGTGCGGCCCGAGGTGCGGGTTGCGCATTTTCAGAGGCACCCCGTGGAGGGCGTGGAGTGCGAGCTCTGCGAGTTCATCGCCCCGGGCGAGGCCGTTCTTCGGTGCTCGCATCGCTCCATTCCGGCACGCTTTGCTAACGTGCTATTCGGCAAAATGGAGGTTTCTTCGCAGAGTGCAGGTCCAGGCTCGACTCTGCGCCACACCTCACGTCGGGACTTCCCCCGGACAGGGGACAGCACGTGGTGTATGGTGGAGAGCAGCGGCTCGCGGCACGAGCGCCTCATCCTGCTGCGCCCGGATGCGGCGAAGGGCCAGCATCGCTACGTGGCAGTTGCGCAGATCCCGGAGGACTGCTTTGTGACGTGGGCCACCTTCCAGCTTCTGCAGCTGCTGGATGGGTGCAAGATTGCCATCGAGAAGACCATCAAGGCCCTGAACACCCCGGAGGCTCGAGACTTGGACGAGAACCTGTATTGGCAGCTCCGCATTACCGACTTCAAGCGCGGCAACCCCTTCCTGCCAGCGTCTGAGTGCTCGAGCACCGTCCGCGTCGACTCGGGCGAGAGCCTTGGGCTTCTCCACTGGGAGCGTTTCAAGGGAGAGTTTCACCTTGCTGAGTACATGAAGCTCTTCCTCGCTGGCATGGGCGAGGACATTTGCACCTTCGCCTCCATAGATGGGCGCCGGCTTGCACCCGAGCATTGCGTGGTCCACCGAGATCAATGGCAGCGTGTGAGGGGCCGATTCTTCGAAGCCTTCCGTGTGCAGAGGTCCGCCTACCGTCGGGGCAGCGGAGGCTCCAACGCACCCAGGCTCCTCGAGCAAGAGGAGCCCAAGTTCCTGCACCGGCCGTCCCTAAGACCGGCGGTGCGACACCCCACAGCCCAGC